TCTTCATCACCAACCACTGCTTAAAAGGTCACTCATTCTGAACAGTACATGAAGTTACTAGATAAAACTTCAAGTCTTGAGAGAGTAGTAGTGACATGGGGTGAACTGGCAACAGGAGTCTAATAAAACTAAAAAGTACTGAATACAATTCAGTGTTAGGTTTGCTTTGCAGCCCGTGAAGAAGGAATGTGCTCTGAGATTGTGCGACCCTTTAGTATAGCTTTCCCCATGCAGTGTAGATGAGGGAAGTGGAAATACAAAACATGATAAATATCTTCACCTCATGCTTTGATACAGCCCAAATAAACTTTTATTTTCATAAATCATAACAGATAGCCAGCCAAAGAATTTTGCTTCTTCATTTCCGATTTTAAAAACCAGTTTATTTTACAATTATCAACTAGGAAGAAGAACCAGTATGTTGCCATGGCACGCCCCACTTCAACAAACAAATCAGTGACATGCAATTGTATTTTTTACTAAAAATACTATGAGTTTGTTTCATCTGTAAAGCTGAGCATTGCCTTATAGCACATTCAGCATTGTGGAATAAAGAATATTGCCCTGGCTATAAATATTTAAACAGTGTAATACACTGTGATTTATCCAAGCACCAAAGTGAGTGAAAATCACTCAATGATTGTCATCCTGATCATTTTCTCAGTAAAACATCTAAGAAAAGGGAATTGATGCAGGGCAGTACCCTTTGTTTTGGACTCCAAACGTGCAGACCTACTTGGCTTCATTACAGATCTCCTACTTCATTATCCTGACCCAAAGCACTGTTCCACTACAAGTGAATCCATTTGCCACTACTCTTCAGCACAATGACACCCTCATGACTGGCAACACCTGAGAACCTCTATATTCTCTGTCCTGTGTCAAATAGTTTAGAAAATAGAATAATGTTAACAATTCTTAGTATTTTCTAGTGGATGCGAAATCCTATAGAACATGACTGGACTTGATCCAAGGGCATCCCTTGGATCCTGTTGGCGCTGAAGGCATTTGGTAGCATGTGGTGCTGTGCAGATTTAAGTTTTAACTGAGTTACTCTAGCAAGGAGAAAAAATTGACTTCATCTGTGTTCATTATCAAATTATTTTAAAAATGATTTAATTTTTGCTGATTTATATTTGTGTATGGGAAGAAATAGTGGTCATCTTAGAAGGACTATTTGTTATTTCTGGAAACGCAGATTCCAGAAGAGCCAAGTCATTAGCTAATGTTGGACTGCAACCTCCCACTGTCATTACGCACTGATAGTTTACACTTTCTTCTACTGGTTTCAAATGTCCTGGGTTTTCCATAAGCTTTTTCTAAGGGAGTCAGGACAGCTGCAACGCACAGTAAGATTTTCTTTAGCGAAAGTCCGCAAAGCTTTCTAATTTATCATGCACAACATGAAAAAGTCTTCATTGTTTATACAAATAATGACTCTTTGGAAAATACAACTGACATTTAGTTAAAAATTCTGAATGCAAGCTGACAGAACCAGGTCAGTACTGTTTTGTAACTCTCAGCAAAGACACCTGCTGAAAGGGTTGAACTCATTTTTCCCATTAGTAGCCCATGGCAAACTAAAGTCCCTTTAGAATTCAAATGTATTATAAAATAATGCATTAATTTCCACCATCCATATTTAGCATGTAGATGAAAGGGTGGCTCACAGCAAGAGCAAAGGCAAATAACTGAAGGCTTTGTTTTTAAGTATGCCAGTTTTCAGGGCAAGGTGGATCTCAAGCAAAATGCAAATGGCCATGCTCTTGACTTCTTGGTTAAGTTCAGGTTACAGAGCTGGATTACAGCCACAAGTGTAGCTGACCATTGTTCATATTCAACACAGACCAGATCTGAAGCTTTTGTCCTCCTTTAGGAGGAACATAAATATAGTGCATTTACAGCTCTTAAGCAACTGGAAATATGTCTATAAAGAGCCTACCAATTAGTTGCCTAGTCTACAGAAAAACTTCCTGAGCATCAGCTCTGGCCTATTAATGTAGCTTTTAGTGGTTCGTTTTGTTAAGTCCTGAAATTAAAATTTTTTAAGACCTAAATAAACACAGATTCCATTAAGCAACTCGAGTAATTAATTACAAAATATGATTATTACTTAACGTCATAATATAATAGCTGCATTCTATTGTATCCACAAAGAGAATCTTCACAGGACACATTCCTAATTAATGCTTAACACCGAGCATGGGCTTATTCTTTGTTCATTTTATATATGCATCCATATGTTTATACACACATTCTAGAAGAATCTTTTAAATTAAAGAGTGAATACCAAATCTCATTTTACGTTTGAAGAAAAGTTATTATCTATTGTCTTAGCAACTTGATTTTGTGGCATAAAAGTTATTAGAAAAATTAGCATAATAAACAGCAAGACTGTAAAGCTTCACAAGTCACTGTTAATTAAGTTAAACTAAATTTCATTCAGGATAAACTTTAATTCAAGAGTCAAATTGCACCTTCAGCTATGACAAAGAATGTATTATGGAGTTCTTACAATAATGATTTAATCCAAAGATCTAGTGAATGGAAAGCTTCCAGTAGACTCCAAAATTTCAGAAGATTTGGCTAATCCTACATCTATCTCTAGCATTTGACTTCAGATAATCAGGATATGACCTCTATGAACAGTTGGTGTAATGAGATTTCATTTTCATGGAGGCTGAGTACTACATCTGCTCAATAGCCAAGCAGCAAAGCAACTAGATCTTGTTAATGCTTTGTTTAAAGGCATTGGTGGACTAAAGACAAGTATGTAGAAAACACTCTTTTATGGATAGTGCTGATGATAAATTGCATTGCTATTTTTCCTTAATCAGAAGACAGAAAGTGTATGTTGGATGTTTATATGAAAAATATGCATGATACCTGTATATCGTTGCTACCAAATACTTTTAATATTTTGCTTTGTTTTTGTACAGTGATTTGAAAGGCTTAGGGTGGCCTCTAAACCTGTATTTTCAGTCATAATGTAACTTTACTGGAAAATATGCTGCATTTACTGGAGTGACTTTGAGTGACAGAGATACAAACTTACCATGTAACACGGGGTGCTGGCCAGCCAGCCACTGTACAATGAAATTTGACATTTTGCTTTTCCCAGATAGTGTGAGAACGAGGTTTGATAACAAACTCGGGAGGATGTAAAAGTTTATCTTGATTCAACTTTTTGTGAAATGCCTGAGTATCTTCTAGCTGGAAAAGAAACATCTCATTATAAACTTCATTATTTACAGATGCAAAATGTTAAAAACTAAAAAAGTGTTTTTGAATTTTTAAAAGCAATTTTCAATCTAAAATCCAGATAAGAATATTTAATGTACATATTTCACTTGAACACACACAAAGTTATTATATTTAAGAGTTTATAATTTCAAAAAAACTAGATTTCGTTTAACTATATTTTCCCCTCAAAATGATCCTAAATAAAATAATGCTCCATGTTTAAATTTTGGTTTTGATATCCACAGTGAAAGGCAAAATCATGAAACTCAGATGTCTTCTGTACTCCTTCTCTAATGCAAGGTCATGTAAGCCCTAGAGCATCTCTGACAGACCTGCTCTCAAATCTTTCCTGCTGGTGGGATTTTCCATTATCTCTGGGTAACCATTTCACCTGACTATTCTCAGACCCAGAAAAAAAAATTACTAATACACTATAAATCTTGCTTTCTTCAAATCATTATCAGAGGTCCAACAGTTTCTAATACAACTAAATAATTTTCTCCTGTGTTTTATTGACAATAATTTTGTTAATACACTCTGGAATGGCATTTGTTTTTATGCAGTAGAATCCTAATTTTAACTGACATTAAATTTGTGACCTTGTATAACTCCTAGACTCTTTGCTACTTGCACCTGACCAGGCATTCCCCTCTTGCTTATTCTTTTCCTTCTGTGTGTAGTAATTTCTATTTGTTATAACAGTTCACCTTCACTGCTTCTCAGTTTTTCAAGATGGTTTTGCATTTTTAACTCTCAAATGTTTACAGCCTTTCCAACCTCACATCATGAGGATATTTTAGGATCATACTACCAATTCTTCTACATAGAACATTAATAAATTAGCTAAACAACGTGTATTTCTATTTAATATATTCTCCCACTCTGGTCATAACATATTCATAACTACCATCTGATTATTTTTTTTAACAATTTGTGCAGAAGTATCAAAGCTACCCAAAATTAGACATTCAGTTCCAGATGCTGACAATTGCCTCCCTTATTTGCACACTGTAATTAAAACACTGCAATAAACACTTTGGACAAGCTTGTCCCCAGGCCATAAAATGTCAGGAATTATCCCATCACCTTCTTATCGCCAAGTACTGCCTAAAAACTGCCTTGTGGTTCAGGTGGGGGATGCTGTGCCACTTACACTGGTGTGAGCACAGCAGAAAGAATATTCCCCTGTTCCATTCTGCCTCTCTCTCTCCCAACATTACTACAGTTTCCGATGCCTCTTTTCTTACCATCCCAAGATAACCAGAGTTTTAGTCACTGAAAATACTTCCATTGAAAATGCCTTGGGATTTACTAACATAACTGCTATTGCTCTTAGTATAAATCAGAGCTGTGATGCAAGAGGCTCTTTACAAACACCAAAGAAGACCTGCACTGAGTACTGCCTAGGTGTTCACTTCTATTATTTTACCGTTTTCTTCAGGGCCACACGCTCTGCGGACTCCCGTATGGCTACTTTCCTTGATTTTTTCTCATGATGTTCCTCTTCAGAGACAGATTTGGCCACCTTGCTGACGCTAACTCCTTCACCGGTCGCAAAGAGGTTCCTTCTGGCAACGTAAGCAGCGCTCTCTTTAATTCTTTCTTCTTCTGTATCTGTGATCCCACTGATACTTACTTCACTGAAAGAAGATTTAAAAAGCAGAATCATATTGCAAAATGCAGAGAACATATTCCACTTATATTTTCTTTTAAGTCAACCAAATACAGAGGATATTAAAGGTCTTTCATATTAGGTATTTCATAATGCATTTCTGCCTTGAAGATCATTACTTCTGTAACAGTCCACAGGTATTCAAAGCAGAAACATGGAAGCATAGTGAAGAATGACAGAGTATTCAGTCCCTGTTTTAAGTCATAGCCATTTTCAGTGCCTCTGTACAGACACGCCAAGCAAAATTTCCACTTAACAATTATTATCTCCATTGATACAATGATGAGTTCAAAGCACATTCACATATCTGTTAGGCTCAAGGGTCAGTGATGGACAAGTATAGCATTACTAGTAAGAATATCAAAGGGACAGGATAATTGTATAAGTATAACAATATTCTCCTTTCTGATCTTTTTTTTAATTCTGTTTTTAATAGAACAACACTGAATATATGACACAAGCTCTCTTTGTTCATAAAAAATTCAATCCTTTAATGTTTGCAGAATGACTGACCTTCCAAGTGTTCTTAAGGAAATAAATAAGGATTTCCTTGAATCATTTCTACAAATTAGGATGCAAAGAACTTGTATTCCCAACAGCTCCAATCCTATTTTCAGATGCACAGATGGAAGTACTATTGAGGTCATGGCATTTTGACACCAACAGGACATCATAGATTCTATAGTAATGCATATACAATGAGAGTTCCTTGACCTAAGGAGAAACATTACTACATTTCTGCTGAGTTTATTTACTTTAGGTCAAGGGGCTGGATCATCTCTCCTACGAATACGGACTGAGGAAGTTGGGCTTGCTTTACTAACAAGTTACTTGTTAGTAAAAAGTTAAACAAGTTTACTAACTTGTTTACTAACGCATTACTAAAGTTATGCGTTTGATAGAACATCTCAACATTAAAGAAAATTTGGATTTAAGCCCATAATTAACTGTCCAACCCCTTACATTAAGAGCACAATGTCAATTCAGTGAGAAGCAATACAGTCAAGCAGTGGAGTATGCTGTAAGCATAATTACTCATAAAAGATCCTCAAAATGCAAACAGCTTTCTTAACAGCTTAGAGCTTTGACTTCCCTCACGTGTTCAAACACTGCCTTTCTGTGTTTCAGGCTACTTCAGTGATTCTTAAGTGTATCAGTGTGATGATTCTCTTTACACCAGCACATCAGCTCTTCCCAGAAATATCTGAGCTGCAGAGATATGACAAATTTCTAAAGACAATTTTGAAAGCCTGATTTAATGCATATGAATGTAGTTATCTATATTCAGTTTTAATGAATCAGTGGCATTCTGTTTCAAAGGCAAACTGACATTACTTCCTTGATAACAGCAATTAAGATCTCAGCAACTTAGCAACTTCACAATATGAACCTCAAGGAAAAAAGCACCTCCTGGGAGCTGATGAATCCTCAGTCTAATACAGGACTCAGCCTAGCTGTCTGCAGTAATGGTCCCTAGAGGCTTTTGATCAACAGTATTAAATATTTAGTTTTGCTAAGCATTTTTTTCTTGCTGTAATCTTCCCAGATCAAAGAAAAACATGTTTCCTGCAATGATGAATGCATCAGAAGCAGCAGTCAGTACCATTTAAGGATTGATTCTGCAGCCACTTCTCAAGGGTTTCAATATAATTTTTGAACAGAAACAAGATCAAACTCCAAATGACACATACAAATTATTATTTAAAGAGTATCTACCATCTCCAGTTCTTTGGCTTATACTTGTTAGTGGCTGCAAAGAGTCCCACAACCCATACCAAGTATTTTTAGCACCTACAGCATTATATCAAGTGTTATTACCTGGAATAATGGCTAGCCCTCCCTAATTTTATCTTGCAAGCATAAGACTATGTGTTTCAGAAGACGACGTATGAACTGAATAATCTGAGTAAGGGATATATTTTTCTTTTCCAGCAGAATCTGATGGTCTGAAATCACAGAAAGGGTGACACAGTGCTGAAGGTCATCCAGCAGCCCAGGCATCAGCGCCAATGAACGCATGTAGAGCTGACCTTTATAAATAACTACCCCTTGTCAAAGCTATCTCCCCATGGGAAGCCACACATCCATTTCACAGGGGAATTTGGAAATGACATATAACATGCACATGATTCAGCTGCTATCTTTCAAACAAAAATAAATACTTGACAGGAATGTGGCATGCAATTTCTACAGCCATGGCATGTGCTTATGGACATGATGCCAACAGAAAAAAAGCCTAAAAAAGTATTCCAAACATTTCATGCCCTGTTGAGTTGGCATCACGTGCCTTTTTTATGTTTTTAAAGTAATTTGAGTCACTTCGGTGGCACGAAATCACAGACAACTTGGAGTCGCCAAGCGCAAAAAGCAAGATTGATTCCCATGGTAGTAAGAAGATAACTAGTACAGTGTAAGAATCTCTCGGTATCTTTTAACTTAGTATCTGCAGGTATCACACAGACACAAGCAAATGAGACCACACGTTATCACACTGAATTAGATATTATCATATTCATTGTACAAAAAAAAAAGTGAAATAAAAAAAGGTCATGCTTTATTAAGATCAGAGGAGCCTGTGTACAATCTAAGATCACCATCCAGGAGCAGAGCCATCAGTTGCCCAACACTATAATTTTTACTTTTGTAGACTGCAGACAAAATAAAAAGGGAGCATATTAATGTTTGAGGGCATTGGACACAGATGGCGAAAGCTGAGTAAAGTATATAGGTAGTGAGAAGCCTTGAAAATGCGTTGCTGCAAGCTTTATGTGAGACACATTTATGTATTTCTATCACAGAATATATATAGCTGAAACTCTGAGAAATGCTTGAAAAATGCAACAGTGGGCACTTCTGAATGTTGGTGGGAAGTGAATCTGACATGGAAACATATAAAGGGAAAGTAAAAAAAATATTCCAGAATGGTTGAAAGGAATGAATAAAAACCAGAACTGCTGGCCTCATCACAAAAGCAGAATGCTCAGAAGGCAAAAGAATAACATCTCCCACTGACAAAGTGGAAGTCAGCATCACACAAAAGCACAAGTCTGGTCACAGAGCAGGAGTGACATTGTGTTCTGAGTGCTGACTAAGCAACAAGCACAGAGTACCAACTCCCAGAAACAGTGTAGAAGCATCCCATGAAAAACATGCACAGCAGATGAAAGGCAAGCTAGAGGAAGGTTTCTGTTCAATTGTGGGTGGGCAAGAAACTTTTTTCCTGGCCTCAAATCAGAGATCTTTTTTCCACACCCCACCCTGGTATGGATCAATGTGAACAAATGGCCAGACTTGATCTGCCACATATTCCTAACAGAATCATTATGCTATATCCTGAAATGGACAAGAGAGCTTCCTTGCTTGTGTTGGTTCTGGCTTCCACACAAAGTTCACATTCAGCTTTGCTGAGGACACTGCTGCTGTAAAACATATTACGTCAGTAGTAGCTGTGCAATAAATACTACCAACACGTGAGATCTACATGAATCATTATAACGGATTTGAGAAACTACTTGGTTGCATCCCAGGTTTTCCCTCTGCCAGGACAAAACATTGGCACATTGTTTCATTGTTAATATGATTGACAGGGGACACTGGATCACAAGCCTTTAAACAACCAGAACAAGCTAAATAATGTGGACAGCATGCTCATCCAGTTCCCAGTAAGTGGAGTTATTATTATATCGTAATTTCATAGAAAGTGTCCCTGGTGACATGTTTGAAACAAAGTCCAGACACCTGGATCCATTTGTCCTGGTTCTGGATGCCCCGTGACTGACTTTCTACCAGTTAGTTAACATCTTTTTAACATTCATGTGAAGTGCAAACAACCTCCTCAAGGTCCAGAAGAAGGGGGAAAAAAAAAAAAAAGAAAAAGAAAAGGATTTGTTATTTTAGAATTCATTAATAAAATATCACAAGTTGTCAAAAAAATGAAAAATGCACATACCGTCCTGTGAATATAGGTACTGAATAGTCCATGGCTTCATTCTCTTTGTCCTCAGATGCCAAGTTCTGTTTTGCTCTCTTTGCTTTCGGGCTCATTTTATAGGACTGATCTTCAATCATTAGGTTGGAATCTTTCAGTCTGAAATGAAAATGATACTGTTAAATTCAGGAAAAAAGTTGTTAAGAAACATTCTAACATAATATTAAATTAATTCATTTTTGTTGTCATTTGAAAATCAAGAAAATATTGTCTTTAATAATGAAGTTACTAAGCAGAAAACAAAATGCACTTTTTACAAGCAGATCATTACAGATATAACACTGATGGCCTTTGACATTAAATCTAAATATAGAGAATAAACAACATACCTGGTAGCAATGCACATTTCATTGCTTGGTTTGGGACTGGTGAGTTTATATACACAGTTTTAGTTGCTAAGACCACCAAATAATTCTGAATATTGTATCTGAACTGATGACTGCTACTTTCCTAAAACACACAGCTCTCAATTCGAGTCTGGTCTCCAACAAAAATATTGTTGGTGGACAAATACATCCAAAGTAATGATGCTTCTAGGACCCCTCAGAGGAATTATAGGGCAGAGCATAGGTCTCAGAAAGTGGAATTTCCTTCAGTGGTGCTCTCTCATACCAACCCAGATGATTGAAAGCAGAGAGATAAGCGAAGTAATGCCATTTCACATAGCACAGGTAGATGGGGAATGAGTGAGTGGGAAGAATGAAAAGCAAAGCAAAAGAAACTTCTGCTCCCTACCATCAGGGGAGGACTACTGAGCAGTGAGAAACATATTTGAGGCAGTCCTATTTGGTTAAAAACTGTATTAACTGCACTCCAAATACCTTCCTCCTCTCCACATGCAACACAGAATCCTTAACTCTTAGATTTACACATTAGAGCTGCAGTATCCTCATAAGCTGCCAGCCTTTTATAAATCTCTGAATTGCTTATTCATCTCTATCTCAGCATCACTATGGAAATCATATGCAACTTTTGAACTGGAGGTTTGTTTGCATGGCACAAACTTACTGATGGGCACAGACACAAGAGCAGAACTGAGGCATACCATCTCTTGGCAAGGCTCCTCAGCCCAGAGCCAGACCACACTCACAGAAGGATAATGACCAAAATTAATGCATACTGAGAAGAAAACACCTGCATAATGTAAAACTGAAGATAAATAAAAAGTTGCCTCCATCCTGGTTTTGGCAATGATGTGGTATAACCTGACAGCCAACCAGAAATACATTTATTTATCAAATAAACGGTGAGAAAGCAAAGGTAATGTTTAATTAGTTTTCATAAATGAACTGTGATCTGTAAGGAACATCTGTCCTTTACCTAGCAGACGACTTTTATTTTTGTCCTAATTTAAAATGGGGTAAACCTGGAATTGTGACTCAGCCATCAGCCTATTGCCTCGGGGCTATAGGCTGAACCTTTTAGGAGGGCACTTAACTCCTTTCTTTTTTCTAGATCACATAAGATTGGTGTCTTTTGGTCTTCAGTTTAAAAGTCAAGATGTTTCTATTTTCATAAAAGTAGACAAAGAGTAATGAAAATGTCATAAAATATCCTAAGTTGGAAGGGACCCATAAGTCCAACTCATCAAGTCCAACTCTGTGTTTTGAGTACTGTTAAATCCAAACCTACTTGCTGTACCCAAAACAGAATTTGGCTATCACATCAGTTTAATTTTCAGTATGGGTCCAGATTCTGCACCTATATAGGGAATGAATGAGTGGCATACATAGCAAGTCCTATCACCCTCTGCCAGGCTTTTGTTGATGTTTTCTTTACATATCATTCTCTTCTTTCACTTGTTACTCTCAAAAATTATTCAAAGAGGAGAAAATTCCTCTAGACTGTTCCTTTTCTCTTTTTAAATCAAACACTGCAAGAGGCTGAATCTGAATAACTCACCTCACTGTCATAATTTATGCCTTCTACAGCTGGCATATTAATGAAAATATCCCCTAAGCCCTTCAGATTGATGTCAGACATTCTTCACCACAGACTGAAAAACTGGGATAAAATTAGGTCTTCTGCAGAGGTATGAGGAATAGGATAAAAATACTACACATACACAGATGATTCCCACTCACTGCAGTTTTCTAAGCTACGTGTCTGTGGATCAAGGCACCTTTTGCTGTAGCCACCTGATTATTTTGGCTGTCACAATGAAAACACACCTAGTGTGCATGTGCTGAGAATCAGGAATGCACCGTCCTAGACAACTTCCCCACTCTTCTTCAGTTCAAAGGGGCAGCTGCCATAGGAGTCTATGCTGTTTTTAAGAGCAAGGGCTGCCCATTGGTACTATGCTAGGGCTCAGAACACTTTGCTATCAAAGCTACAGGCGACATCTGTGAACTGAACAGATACCTGTAGGGCCTCCAGTCATCTATTGGACTCAGGCTTTCTGACACTACAGCAAACAATTTACTGCAGTTATCCACTCTCCCAAGAACACGACCTGGACTAAGTAATATCTCCCGAGAAGCATTATATTGATTAATGACAAGGATGCTTTTAGACTAATTCTCTACTTTAGCAATAGTCTAAAGCTGATTTTTCTAAAAAGTTTATATAGAGAAATAGATCCCTAGAAAAATCTTTCTGATTTCAAGCAAAAACACTGAGTAAGAGGCAGCATCACTACTACAGAAATGGGCTTACAGCTTATTTATATCAGGCAAATAGCACTTTGTTTTGAACCTGTTTTAAGTTAATGACACTATAATGTACTTTGTGCTTAATTGTTGCTCTATGTGAAGAATACCAGGGGGAAAAAAAAATGTTCCTTGTTCATTCTCTACATATCTTTCACTACAGTATACACTCTTACATGCCCACATTTGACTCCTTCCCAAGACAAGACTCCCAGTCTCTTAGCTTCTCTAGGCAGAGGGTATGCTCCTTCCACCCTCCCTATCAATCTCCAGTCCTTTCCTAGTTTCAGACTGCACTTTTTGGGGCAGGATAATAGGAACCACACCCAGTATTTCAGCTACAAGAATACCTTGGATTAACGCACTAACAGAGCACACTTCCTACTTTGTTCTCATTTGTTCCCACAGCTGTTCCTAATCTTCTAATTGCCTTGTATCCACACCATAGCACCCAGCTGGTGTTTTCAGGAGTACCCAGAGCAACTCTAAAACCTTTTTCAGAATTGGAGTGCATGAATAAAAAGCTGAGATGAATAAATTTGAAGTGGAAGAAACCATTTCTCCTTTCCAAACCCTCCTATCCTTTGCATCTATTTGGGGTGAGCTGTGTGGATGAGAGCAGAAATTATTATTTGGATGGATTCTGCATGTGAAAACAAATTGGTCATTACTGCTACTATGAGGTGTATTCCCATGTTTTTCTTTTTTGTTATACTGTTTTTTCCTGTGCAATACAAAACCAAATCCTGTCCACAACCATTATTTAGATAGCCTAAGGGGGACTCTGCTTTCTTGAACTGGTTTCTAAAATCTTGGCCTTTATTTTAAAGTGTTCCAACCTTTTACCTGATATGTGGAACAGAATCTCCCCAGAGGAGAAGGAGCAGGATATCAGAGCTCTCTGATTTCACAAGGAGGAACAGTACCATGACCTTTTAACAGCTTTCAGCCTCACTTGATCTACCCAGCTAGCACACGTGTACTTTTTCCAGGTCAGATGCTATCTGTGATACTTTATCAAGGTTGGTGACCCAAGTCCTCCTTTCTTGATGGTTTCAGCATGTTAAAATATCAACACCAGCATTTTCTCGGTTTCACAGTAGAGTCACAGAATGTATGGGATAAGGAGCTGGATGGTTATAAATGCTAAAGCACAGGTGTCATCCTGTAGAGATATTAAAAGACTGGTAGCCACTATTAGCATTCCATATAGCCCAGCAGATCAACGTTACTGCACAGAGCCTACGAGACTCCCCAGAGGAGGTTGTGTTCTGATGCCATATCCTCATAGGTATTCTCATTTATATCTTCTTCAAGAGATAAACAGACTTCAGTATGTTGGCACTGCCCTTGTCCCTGTGCCTGAAGAGACAGGTTTCCCATCCTGCACAAAGAAAGCCTGGGCCTGATAAATGTATCCTAGTATTGGGGCACAACACCCTATTTTGCAGTTATTCTACCACAGCACGAAAGGCATCTGTAAACTCATCAACACCCCTAGAAAATTATCTTGTCCTTAGGATGCTTTTCTAATGCTTCTGACTTTATTCCGCCAGGAGGCAGAGATGCTGTTGGTGCATACCATAGCTGTACCAGAGAAGCTCCACTAGCCAAGAGGCATTTCTCAGGCCCATCTCCTGCAGCTACTTATTTTCTAGTATGTAAGTTTGAATTGATTCATTGTGAAGAGGAGAGGGTGGGTTGACAAACCAGGAGAATATATATATATATATATATTTATATATATAAAAGGCATTTCACAAGAAAGCTCTTTCAATCCAGCTTCTAAATATAAGATGAGAAGCACATTGTGATGACTACACTCACTTTAAGTTGCTGACAGATTTGTCAAGGGACCAAGCAATACTGCTGGCAATAATCATGCTGTTCCCTAACACGGATTCCACAACAAATGTTTTAAAGGGGAATTGTTTCCATGTAGCAGGTTACATTAAAATGATTTCCGTGCTCGGCTGTGGTGTTTGGAAGCCTTCTCCTTAACCCTCACCTATAATAAACTGAAGGACAAGCAGTGCCAGAGGGAGGTCAAGTTCACAGTCTTCTCATGTTTCTTAAAGTGTAATATTTACTCAGCCCTCTGCTGCTCCTGGTTACGTTATTGCTCAGAACAGCATTACTATCTGGCACTCTAATTAATTGCAAGTCAGTAAGATGCTTCTCCTCTCCTTGCTTCGTTCACCTGAATTATGTCCCTGTCTTCTTTGCTATTTCTCCTGAACTACAAATCAATACAAATACCTGAGCCACACCATTAACTTACATTTTCTCTCTGAGCAAGCCCATTTGGGGTCAGAAAGCAACTCCATGACATGACTGTCTTCACTTGATGCTGCCAGCCACGAAAAGGACGTACATAAAAGCAACAAAAGTTTGAGCAAAGGCAAAATAATGAGCTTACAAAAAATAGAATAAAGAAGTGACAGAAAAGAAAAAATAATCAGAGCCTCACAGCCCTGCAGAAGCAAGAGGAGCAGCGCAGGGCAGGGGTGGCTCCAAGCTGGTGGAGAGGGCAAGGTGTGACATGGCAACCTTTGCTTGATGAAACTCAGTTTGTTTTACGAGCCTAGCATTTTATAGCTTTGGCAAATGGTAACCAGCAGAGCTAAAAACATCCCTCCGCACTTGTTCTTAGTTTTGCCAGCTTTCATTTTTCTCCTCTTGCTTCTCCAAGCTGCCACAGTTTGAAAAAGGCTTGAAATGTAATGAATGGACAACCTATCTCATTTTGAAGGAGCTGTAGTTCCTTCAAGCTGTCAGTGCTCTGGGCATACTTTCCACTCAGAGAACTGGGATCAAGTCAAAATCTTGTATGTTAACCAGCTCTGCGTCCTTCACCACTGCTTTCCCATGATAAATTCCGCCCATAGCATCAACTGTGCATCAGCCTCACCTCTTTATGGACACTTTTTTCTGCTCTAGTTTGGATGCAGCACTTTGATTCAGAGCACGTTAACTTTTTGAAAATTGAAAGTGTTTGAAGACTTCTTGAACACTTTTTCTTCCCCAACCCTTCCCCCCCCACCCCGCCATCATGATACTATTCTTTTTATAAGGATGAAATCAAAAAGTGATGTGCTCAGATTATTTTAGCAACTCTTCTTGTCTCCACACTATCCCTTGAAGTGTTTTGAGCTTTCAGGGAAAGACAGCATGAACTTGGGAAGAATTACTTTAAATCAGCACCACTTGTACATCTTGAAAATCGTACCAAAATGGCCACCAAGAAGTTGCTTCAGAAGCCAAATAAATACCAAAATAGAGGCCACATTAACCATAAAATTATCTTAAATATTACCACTCAGAAACATATTTTCCCCATGTATTAAGTTTCATGCAAGAGCAATTTAAGTTTGTAAGTCTAATATCCAAGTTATTGTCTCCCAGAGCAGCATTGAGTTTCCCATACCTCTGGTACAAAGACAGTATCACAGAGATGCATTACAGCTGAGACATTCTCATCTCTGATTGCCAAGACAGTACATGAGATCTGTTGGCAACTCTTATGTTACAGAGCAGCTTACAGAAGTAGCACCAAATATACTGTTTCAAAACAAAAGCTATTATGCCAGACAAAGCACCTAGGAAACCTAGAAACATTCCAAGTTCTCTTAGTATAGTTTCAGTACATTAAACAATTAGATCTTGGCAAGAAGATTAGCATTTCAGAATAAGTATCTAAAATCCTCAATCACTGAAGCATTCATCAATGGGACTTGGCAGATTTTATTTTTATGATCATTTTCTGTAACTTCAGGTAATGTTTCCATGTATTGGAATATGCAAGGTTTTCTATGAAAATAGCAAAGCTTTCGGCTAGGGATAGCAGCAACAAGTAGGCGCAGCTGCATCATTGCAGGGGAGGAGCAATTTGGGATACTTTCCCCTACCTGATTCTCTAGGAACAAAACCCTCAGTTCTACCATCTCCAGTCTGCATCCTTTTATTAGCAGACTATGAGTCTTTCTTGCTACTTCACAGGTTAATTATTTATACAAGTGAAGTTGTTTCAACAGGGAAGACTGGATATTGTCCAGTCCAAGACAGCCAAGTCATTCATCTGGGCTCTAACTGCCTGAGGTTCAATTTCCTGAACAAACTCTGGCAAATGGAATCTTGACCCTGAACTTCCTGAAAGACAAGTGAAGGCTGTAATCACGAGGCATTATTTACTGTGGTACAGGTAGTCTTTCCTTCAGCGCTTTTGGTCAGAATTCATATTTATCCAAAATCCTTGGAGAATATTCTGTTTTCAAAATTCAAGTTTCTGGTGAACAAGTCTCAATTGATTCTGCTAATAATGCTCTAAATTTTATATTAATATAATGCAGAACAGATGTGTTCTCTATAATTCACTGATTGTTTTCTTTATTGCTAACAGCTGCTCTAATCTTACTTTAATGCTCCCCCAGCTTCTGAGATATACACATATAACACAAGGCCATGCTATCTAAAATATTATGCTAAAGTAATTGCTTGAGCATCATTTACAGTCTTAATTAAACTAAAATAACAGCAGCTAAGCATAGCTGTTCTAATGCAAAATAAACAGTTATAGTATTCTTTGGAAGTAGTATCTCTCAACTTATTTTCACTGTGAAAATTTCAATTTCTTGACTCACTCAGCAAAAAAATAAAAACACTATGCCAAGGTAGAAGCATTTAATGAAATATGAACATGTCAACTCAACTCATGCAAACAGCCCCAAGTTCTTTTATTGCTCCATCATGGCCAAATAAGATCCAGCCTCAACTCAGAAGTTCCCTCAGCACTGAGTATTAGCTTCAGCAGTCTTAATATGGCAGAACAATTTTGGGGACTGATGCCCACCCAGCTTGGAGAATGCATATGTAGCTCATATTTGTCATCATTCAGCCATATTAGCACTGTTTTCATGCCAAATATCACACAAGTTAGTCCAGCAAACTAGCTGACCACAGAGCTTCCCAGCCTCAAAGCAAAAAGAAAACACTAAGTCTGGAAAATATATTTAAACCATGTCACAGAGCTTATTTGCATTGAAGAGCTTGAGAGTTTTGCCATTGATACCAATGGGATATGGTAGCACATTTTTGTTTTAAAATACTGTTTTCAAAGACAGATTTACTTTTAGCCTTACCCAAGACCGTAGGTCTCTGACCCCAGGCGGTAGGCTGCAGCCAGCTTGTTGATTGATTCAGATCCATGACTGTAGGCAGCAGAGCTCTTGCTGAGGGCTTCAGAGTCAAGACTGTAGGCAGCAGACCTCTTACTTTGCGCAGCAGCATGATCATAGGCTGTAGATCCATAGCTGTAGGCAGCTGACTCAAGACTGTGGGCTGAAGAGCCATGGCTATATGCTGCTGAAGACTCAAGGCTGAAGTCTGCTGCAGAAGTATGGCGATAGGCTGCAGAGCCCCTGGCATAAGCTGCAGATCCTTGAGCATAGACAGCAGATTTGCTCTTTGTTTCCTTTTGGTACTGGCTTACAGTTGACTGCAGTGCTTTATGGCGATATGCACGGTCATAATGGTCATGGTGTCTTTGATAGAATGGTAAAGACATCATGAGTGCCTTCTAATTTTGTTTTTCCTGTGCTTTTCTGAATGTAAACCTAACAGGACTGTCTGAAAAAGATCAAAAATAAAGACTAATGTCAAAAAAAACTTCTGAGACAGCATACAAATAGTACAGAACTTAAACTAACAAGACCTTAAATGTTTAAACATAATAAATTTAAGGTTATCATTTTCGATGCTTCTTAAGAAGAGTTCATTTTTAAGCCTCAAGAAGGTCACGTCATTCAACGCAAGCAGAAAACCTTGTATTATAGCATCTGTTCACTTGTAATAGTCTCCCTGTTCTTACTGCAAACTACTGAAGTCTTACATGTTTAACTTCTCAAGTCATCACCGCTAATGAAATTTTGTGTGTTCAACTTCTTCAGAAGTACCGTAAATATTTTTGTTAAATTAATCTCTTCTTAATTTAACAAATGATCTAAAATGGTCTGAGAATGCAGGAAAACTATTCAATACATTATGAGCTGAGATCAAAAAGCATGCAAACATTTCATTCATTTTTGTAATACAATTTTAAAATCCAATTTAAATTTTCAGATTTTAATAATCAATTAAAAACAGTAAGACTGAGGACATCACTCTTTTTCCATAAACATTATGACCTTTAAATGTCCCTTCCAACTCTAAAGATTCTATTGATTATTTTGTATGCGATAACAGAGATTCATTTAAAGGGGCTTATCACACTTTTACCAGTTGATACAGGTGGTATCCTCACCTAAGTTTTACTTTGCACAATCACCAATAGTTTTTCTTGCCATTTCTTGTAAGAGGAAATTTGATCAGGTGAAAGGTAGTTCCTTTCTGAAAATGGGATGAAGGTTGAATACAGTGGGGATTTCTCTTTTGTTTTTTTTTCAGCTGGCAGTCCAGTCTTCTTTTGTTTTGCTGTTATTATTAAAACAGATGTTTTCTTCTCAGGCAAGAAAAATTGCCTCTACCAACACATCCTGATAACCTTTCTTTTTCTTATCATTGGTCATTATGCTTACAAGATGGCTAGATTATCCCTGATTATGTGATTATAAATAGGAGTAGGCTACGGTGGGAAAATGTTGAGAAAAAAATTGAAAACAATAAAAAAGGAGAGAAATGATCACTATTGCTTTTTTACAAGTTAAAACAATAGGGAATTTGTTCTGCTTCTGGTTTCATTCATGTTGATGAAACTACTTATTTCATTTTTTGATATAAAATACACTTACTTACAGAGCTGAAATGTAACCTTAATTCCACAAAAATCAATATTTTTTCATGGATCTTTAAGCTTTCAATATTGCAGACTGTTTTTTTCTTCAGTATTTGCTTTCACAGCAAGACAAGACAACAAATAGCAAACTATCCACTTTGGTAATGGCTCAGGTACTCCACCAGACTAAGGCAAATTATGAAAAAAAGACAGTTTCAACTTATTTATATTTCACATCTCACTCAAGGTCTAGGAACTGCTCTTTGCATAACAGATCCAGTCACTCATTTGGAGAAAGTCAACAATAGAGTCATTCAGAAGTCTTTGAGTGTGTAAAAGAAGTTGATGATAACTTGATCATAGTGGAACAATTACTTTAATCAGATTAGTTTATCCATTTACTTCATTTCTACCTGAAAAAGGGAGAGGGATGAGATAGAGTGCTAGCCTATAGTTTTCTATGGTAAAACCTGAGTTCCTTGCTTACTCCTTTATTTGTCCTCTTGGCTGGTTGTTTTTTGTTTTTAATGCAATTCTAACAAACACAATTACTCATTTTAGTATCCTTATTCCTAATTCCAATCAATATTTTTATTGCTATTTATTTCTCTTTGTTGTCCTTCGGTGGTACATAGTTACTCTTCAGTTCACCAGTTTCATAAGATTTTTTTATTATTATTTTTTCTTCATTGCTTTCTCTGCCACACTTGCAGAACAAGGTTAGGATTTGCAAGCCACTGTGATTTTTTTTTTTTTTTTGGCAAAGTTAAGATGGGTAGATGAATCTTGTTTCACATACTGAAAGGCAGTGAGCATGAGAGCATGTTTTTGTCTCCCTTTTGTAAAGCACTACAGTTGCATCCCTTCATCTCCAGTTTTATTTTCAGCTTTGCTTAGTTTCTTCATGGTTACAACAGCCACAATGCTAACACCCATTCAGTCCTGTTGCTCAGGGATTTCCCCAGCTTTCCAGGATGTGAAGTAGGGAACGTGTTTCAAAAGTATAAAATACTTCATGTATTGTCAAATAGAGACATTTAAAAAAAAACAAGCTTAACAATTTCAAGTCAGCATATTTAGAATGCATAAAGGCAATTTTTTTCTTCTAAACATTAAACCTGTGGGCCTCACTATCCTCAGAAGTAAGAGAAGTATACGGTAAGAGTAAGAACCAAGTGAGACAAGCTGAACAAGATGTCAACTCTCCTGGCTTGAATTAAAGAACAAGTCCTACTGGTGCAATGTAAGAATTTCCTTATATAGGTGTTTCATCATCCTACCAGCTATGTTTTGTATTTCTCTGAAACATCAAACATTACTCATAGGTAAAAGGTCAGTTAGTGACATCAGTCTGACAAGATATAGTAAAGCTACATTCATGGGGATGACAAGAAGCTTTGAACCTTGTGAGAATTTTGCTCCCATTACCAGCACTGGCTGGTAATCTGATCGACTCCCATCTCTTTAAATTTTATAAAAATCCATCCCACCTGTACCTACACTAACCAGCCCTTTTTACTATCAGGGAAGCACTCCCTCTCAAGATCTGTGTAGGATTTTGTAACAGCAGAGCCAGGCCTAAAAATATAGAAGACATAGTTAGATAAATATGCTGATTTTGGAGCTATATGTTAGCAGCTGTTGAACTGAATTTTCAGAATGACATCTGAGCAGACAGGCAGTACTTATTTGTAGGCTGTAAATACACATCAAGGGAAGTCAATTACTGGCAGTGCCTGTTCCACAATTTACTATCTGTAATTCTTTAAAAGATCTTCATCAATAAGTGAAAACAATGAAATAGAAAAAAAGAACAGAAACATACAAGCATAAAAAAAAAAATGTAAGGCTTCCTTCAGCTCAGTCAATGGTGTTTCATCTCCTTTACAAATCACAAGGCATTCTCTGCAACTAGAAAATATTTAGATTTACACATTCTCTAATCCCAGAAGTAACACAACAGATTCCTGCTATATCTCAGTAGTCCGTGCCTCATTTGAGGGTAGTATAACAATATCCTGGGATAGCTGATTTGGTAAGTGAATCTTGTGCTACTTCACTTTGTTCCACATTTGAGCCTTCAGATTTCTTCAGTACTAATCCACAACTTCCTCAAATAACTGTTGATTTGAGGAGATTAAAAGGCAGCTACTATCAACTCGGCATTACAGATTCAAATTAAAAATAGTTGAACACATAAAGCCTTATGCCATAAAGAAACACTTACCGGGGCCCAGATGAACAACAGCAAGTGGATTAGCTCTGAAACAGATGAACAACAGAAACATATAGCAACGATGAATGCAGCAAAAGCAGACGTAGACAGGACCAGGGGTAAGGACTGGACTTGAATGTCCAGAACAAAAATAATGCCTGTAGTCAGTGGAATGTCAGAGCCCCAGGACAGACCTTTTATGGCCAGGAGGGTGATAAATATAGCAGCAAAGAGGGAGAGACAGAGAGACAGATACTGATACCCTGTGCTATCTCTGTGCAAACACATGATGACAGCAGTGTCAGATTGAGAGTTCTCCCTTTTAAATATTCTCCATAAAACCAGCATACCAATTCAAAATTATTTTTAGGATTTTCTCCATAGTTAAATCAGGCTTAGGAAACCAAGAAGTGCATCATGTCATGATCCAGAAAGCAGGAAACAGTCTCTACACTGACCTTTGCCAAAGCAAGAGAATAGGAATGTTTTATAAGTTCTTTCCACATTTTTAATGCCATGCCACAGTGCACTTAATGTAGATATTTCAACTTAATGACAGATAACCCGTTGTAGTACTTAGCAGCAAAACTCTATAAAGCCATATGATGCATTACAATTCAATGAAAAAAAAACTTAGTTTCTTTGGTTTGTTGACTGTTACATTTTATCTTTATTTAAATAAAATACCAAGTTAAGAAAATGACCTCATGGGGCATATAAATTGATATAACTAATACTGCTCTAATGCTCAACTTTGTTTCAGAATTAAACAGTGTTATTGCTAGGGATAAATAAGCGTCTTTGTCTTCAGGTTGGATATTAAGAAAAATCTCTTCTCAATAAGAGAATTCTCAATAATGCATTGGAATAGGCTGCTCAGGGAGGTGGCGGAGTCACCACCCCTGAAGGGTCAAGAAACCCTAAGCTCCACTACAGCTACTTCCACCCACCCACCACGTAAAACAATGGAAAGCTTTCCAGATCCTCCTCTTCTATTGTGGCCTTTTCTGTGAAATTGCAGGCAGAAGGTCTGGATGAGCTGTTTCAGGATTTCCAGGCCCACTGGTACCCTTTTCTTGACGTCTTCTGCCTTGGTTCCACCTAAAATCTATTTGTTCCTCCACTTTTTCCCCCATATAGGTGCTACCCCTGCCTTGTGCTGCATCATGGACTAAGTTCACACAGTTTGTCATCTTCCACGCTGGAAGCTGCCCAGCTACATTAACCATATTGGCCTCTAGTCTTTGCTCCTGAGACCAGGAAGGTATAGCCAGTGAGAAATTGCATATGCCATACAAACAGGAATCTTGCTAGGTGAAGAACCTTAGTATAGTCTCTTCTTCCCCAGAATTCTGCACCAATGGCAGCTCCACTGGTCTACAAGATTTATTTTTAATATGAGAAGTGAATGGAATCCTGAATTCAGTTACAGACTCCCAAGCCATGACTTCCCAGTGGATTATTTGTACTGACATATTAAAAGATTTAATGACATACTAATTGCTTCTGAAAATTTCAGAGGGAGACGTAGCGAAAACAAACATCTTGTTTCTCTGTTCTCATTGCAGTAGAATTAATATAGATCAGAGGTGGGATGTGAAAATCTAAATGTTTTCAGTGTTTTTCCCCAAGTATT